CACAGCCCGTGGAACGTCAGCTGGGAGGCCGTGGCCTCCAGGAACTGCTCGGCCACCAGCCCTGGATGGGGGACACAACGGGGTGGGAGCAGGGCTGGGGCACCCAGAGCCCCACCCAGGGACCCCCACGGGGAGCGGGGGGTTGGGTGGGGGTCCCTCACCTTCGCTCACCAGGCTGGAGTCGCTGGCCTGTTTGCAGGTGATGATCTTCTCCACCAGTTGGTTGTAGCTCAGTTTGCCCACGGCTTGGACCACCTCGGGGCTCTGCAGGGAGGGGAAGGGCTGGGGGGGTGAGAACCAGCTCTGCAGGGACCCAGGGCAGCAAAACGAGTCTGTTGGGACCTTCCCCAACCAGCTGGACCACTGGTCCATCAGGGGGACATCCAAGAAGCTTCTTGGAAGGGTCTTTTCCATCACGGAAGGGTTTGGGTTGGAAGGGGTCTTCAAACATCATCTAGACCCCACCTTGCCATGGGCAGGGACACCTCCCACCAGCTCAGGTTGCTCCAAGCCCCATCCAACCTCCCTTAGACACTTCCAGGGATGGAGCAACCACCTTGAAGATCATTTAATGGATCATCTGGGTGATCTTTAAGGTCCCTTCCAACCCAAACCATTCCATGATCTAAAGATCATCCAGATCCAACCCCCCTCCATGGGCAGGGACACCTCCCAGCAGCCCAGGCTGCTCCAAGCCCCATCCAACCTGCCCTTCAACACCCCCAGGGATGGGGCAGCCACAACTTTTCCGGACAAATCAGTGTCTCATCAACCCTTGGACCATTCCCTGGTGTCCCTGGGCCAACACAAGCCACCAGCAGGACATGCATGGGGCCAGCTCACCTGGGGGTCCACCAGCCAGCCGTGGTAGAGCGGGACGTTGAGGAGGTCAAAGACAATGCACTCAGGTGTGTACTCGAAGTCGGAGACGCCCGTGAACCGCACGTTGACGTCCAGCCCCGTGGCCAGCTTGGGCAGGACGGTCATGGAGTCATTGATGTTCTGGGGG